CGTGGTATTTACCAACAAATAGAATGACGATATTTCGGGTTGAGTTTTTGCCCATAGACAGGTCTAGTTGTGAGTAGAATGCTTTGAAAATTTCAGCTCAAAAGAATGTTTCCTTCCCGAGATAATAAAGTCCAAAAAAATAGACAATTCTAGCATCGTTCGTGAGATATGAGTGATTTTTGGGACTTTAATATCTCGGGAAGGAAACATTCTTTTGAGCTAAAATTTTCAGGGCATTCTACTCACAACTAGACCTGTCTATGGGCAAGATTTCAACCCGAAATACCGTCATTCTATTTGTTGGTAAATACCATGCCATAGGCTACAATTCCAGTAAAATCCCTATAATTCTGAACAGAAGGCCTAACTGCCGTTATCCTTTTGGAGTTTTTCATACCTCACTGGGGTTTACCTTATGCACAGGGTTCGAACTCAAAAGCAATTCAACAGTTGGGGACCTTCCATCGTAAGCTTGAACTTGATAGTAATCTAAGAGAAACTATGAGATTTTTCTAGATAACTCTTTTAAATGATCATAAGCCAAGAAGAGCGACATATGGACAGAAGTCTTTTTCTCCTCTCAATTGAACCTGTCGAACGAAATTAGACTTTCTATCAATCTTTTTGTTTATTTTATAGAAGAAAGCATGTTATTGTTGTCGTCTATTATTTTAACTGAATTTTTTTTAGAAATATTTTCTAATTGCCCTTGATGCTGCAAAATAAATAATGATATTAAATAGCACATACTTACAGGTTTTTTTTTATTAATTCAAACTGATATTGATACTTAAGAAAAATACTTTTTAAAATATGAAAAGCCATACCTTCAAGATTAGTTAGTACACCATCTAATTTAATTCCATGATGTGTAAGTGTTACATCATCAATTGTATTTTCAATAAAATATAAATAAGATCGTGAAACTTTTGATGGACTATCCATTTCATCAATATCTTCTTGATTTAAAATTGCAGCTAATGTTCGAGCCGCAAATTGTATTGTTGTATCTTTTGCTTTGTATAATTTTTTACAAATATCTATTACATTTCTATCTTTTAAATCATAAAATATTTTCTTCTCAAATGTTAAATTGTACAACACAGTTATTGAACATGACATAAGGGCAACATCAGGATGAAATGATGCAGCATTTTTACAAACACTGTTTATTAATGATTTTTCTTGTAAAATTTCGATCATTTGATCTACCACCGTTTTATCGCTATCGAATTCTGAAAGAAAAAAAAAGAAACATAATAATAAGTACAACATATAGGCATATCCTAAAATAAAGACTATTAATTGTATTTTATTAAAACACATTTAATCAAATTTCTAGCAAATTGAAATATGATATGCAACAGAAATACACGTATTATAAAAGAGAAGATTTTAAAACAATTATTTCAACTTTTCAATTACTATCTACTGATAATGTATTATTCATGACGAAAAAGCGTAACTTTAGCACTTCAGGTAGTTTTGGATATTTGGCCAATTTACTTGTTGAAATTTTTTTTCTTTTGACTATTGAAAATTGTGAAAGTATCTGAGAGAGTCATCTAACAGAGCTCATGTGCCGAGGAAAATGGAGTAAAGTATTACGTCAGATACTCTGAAACTCTGTACGTTTACTAAAACATTGATAAAGATGCCTATATGTTTCTTCTCTTGTGATACTAATCAGAAAGCTGTTATCATAATCCTTGTGAAATCAAAATATGAAAAACGATATTAGCTGCTGCTACTAGTCACAGGAGATTCTTTTATTCGATCTATTTTGATATACATTTCTTTCTTATCCTTTTACTTAATCTTCTAGATATAGAATAAAAAAGTAGTTCGTACATATCAGAAAGAGACGTTATTCATATACAGTCTTTAATCGTATATCAACAAAGTCTGTCACGATCTATGGGAAGTGGATGCAAATTTCTATCTCTATACTTCGACGCTCGCTTTAGATTCTGTTTGACAAAAATAAAATATTCATGAGTAATACCATTTTGTATTATCAAATAAAATACAAACATCAGAATGAATGAGACAGAAAAGAAATTTATTAATATCGTTTTGAATGTACCATGCATTGAATATAGAAATCTGTGGCTCAGATTTGAAAAATAATCAATTACCATACTCAGGATAAGGCAATACTTTATTTCGGAAAACATCTTGCTTGCCGATTTTGACTTGATAGTGATCAACCAAAGTGATGAGAATCATCATGTTTTCTTCAGTTTTTAACAAACTATTTGAGAATACACAAATTATCAATATTTTATCTTGTATATCAGGATTATCTTATACTTTTACATTTAATAAATTTTGAAATTTGATGAAAAAAAAAATGAAACTTTATGCAAAAATTTTATTATGAGAGGTATTATTCATTGATTATGTAATTAATTAAGATGATTCTACTCGTGTTTTGTAGACCAATTTTTACTTCTGTATGATGGTAAAAACTCAACACTTATTCATGCAAATATAACAAAAAAAACTTCTGTCGATTATAGATAGTAACGAAATGAAAGAGTTTAAAACAAATTGAATATCATTCATATATACACAACTAATATACATTGCATAATTTTATTGGGTATGAAAATGTGTTTGAATCTTCTCTACACCGATTTTCAATCAATACATAGAATTTTCTTCTTATAGTAATTTTTTCATTTATCCTGCATTTCTTTTTCCTCGTTCAGTTTCAATCTAAAGCACAAATCAGATCTCATTTTATTCAGTTTATGTTATGACAACGATTGAAGATAGCAAAGGATGCATTAAACAACCATAGAATAAAGAATCAATAGCAGCAATGATAAAAATAATTTTGAGTGTTGTATTTTTCAACGGAGTCACGTGTAACTTTTTAATACTATTATTTTAGAATGTTGTATTGTTGATACAGATAACAGAATAGATATGTGAAAAAGAGAGAGAGTGGCGTTCAAGAAAATGGACAGAATTGATGGGTTTGTTTTATTCATTGTTTATGTAAGAGTTAGCTATATTCAGTTACTTCATTATTTGTTATCCTTTCTTTTTCTAGTACCCACCAATTATCGAAATCATTAATAAATACTTCGATAAGTTATTTTGATTTTATTCTTATTATCTGATAGTATTAACATTGAAATGCCTTGTTTTGAATTTCTTCGTTATATTTTCCTATTCACTGTTTGCCAACTTTGATATGAGTACTAGGGTACTGCAAGTTCAAAGTTTTATTTTTTGTCGAGTCCCCCTAATCTCCCAAAACACGGATCCACAGCTCTCCAGTTATCATACTTTCTCTTCTGCTTCGTAAATTCGTCCTTTATTCGTCTTGTATCTTTTTTAATATTTTGTTAATGCATTCTTTCCTTCTTTTTATCAACTAATGGATAGTTTTTTTTTTCTATGGTTGCATCATTTGTTCAATGAATTACTCCAATAATATATTTTATAGAATATAATGTTAAACGAGAATATGCATATGTTGACTTTTAAGAAAACAATAGTTTTATTTTGATTCGATGTGAATATGTCATATACTAATGAAGATAAATTCAAAGGATTGAAAAAGTCCAAGAAAACTCAAAAATAATCTATTGTAATTCTTGCATGAATCAGTGATTGAAATATATTTGAACTTACTTTTGATAAAAAACTCTCTTGTTGTCGGTGTTAAAGCAATATAATTTATTAATTCAATATACCAAGCGATTGCTTGATTTAATGCCAATTCACCTATTAAAACATTTGGTAGATGTTTTTCAAAAATACCACAATTATATTTTATTATTGATTTAGATAATACATTAGATATGTCATCTTGTCGTTTTCGACTACATAAACGAATAAATTTCGGACATTGACACATAAAAAATGATTGTTTTGGAGTTAATATTGGTTGTGAAATATCAATAGTTTTGTATAAGTTTAGATAAATTTTTGATTCTACACATTTTACAATAGAATCAAGAATTAATTTTTTATCAATATCATTTAATTTTATACAAACACGAAGTAAACGATCAATAATTTTATATTTAATATGATATGATTCATAATTATTAATAGCTATATCATCTTCTATAATTCTTACAAACTTTTTAATAAATAATTCTGTAAAAAATATTTTTTCATATGATATTAAATCATATTTTTCTTTATTCATTGGATTCAATTTTTCATTATTATCAGTATAAAAACATGTTAATATTTTGTTTCTATTTAAACATAAATTGCTTACTAATAAACTAATTCCATCAATACACTCTTCATCTTCTTTTGTTAAAGAAATAAATGTTAATTTAGTTAATAACATTTGAAATGTTCTATTAATTATTATAAAAAATGTATGATTCATTATTTCCGGATCATTAAAAAATGTTAGAGTAGTAAATCCAGCCATTTCATAACAAATTACAGATAAAATATGGAAACCGTCTGTTTGATTGTGTATTCTATTATTTAAAAATAAGACAATTTCATTAAATAGTTCTTTTACATATTTTATTGGTTCAGCTTTACGCAGTTGATGAATCACAGATTGATGACGTTGAAGTAATAGTTCCATTTGAAGAAAGATATTAATTTAACTTCTTCTTTTTTATCTAAAAAGTAAAATAAAAATGATAGAGAGTATTAGTTTTTAAGAAACAAATTAATCAAATATTGAGAGCATCCCGTTGTGAGGGTTTTCTGAAAAATGAATCATTCGAGATATTTGAAACATTTAGGGTAAATAGATTTCGATAAGCAGAGCAATAATTGTCATAGACTTCAAATTTTCACAGATTTTCTTCTAGATCACAAAGGCTGAAAATCGTTTCGCTTTCTCGGCCATAATACGTCTGATAAAACTGGAATTATTTTTACAACTACTAGACACTTTTTGAAATGTGTGCTTTTTTTAACTTCTTTCATTCGAATAAAAAGACCAAAAGCACTGAAGATATCACCAAGAATGTCTTTTTTTGCTAAAGATTTTTTATGGAATTCGCCAAAAATCAACAGTGCAATATTTTTGAAAACAAAAAAAGATTAGACATCACAAAAACTATCCAGTACCTCGAAAAAAAAAGTTTCAGCTTCATCGAATATACTATGAAGGAAAACGGGACACGATTCTGCACTTGTTTTTTGTAAAAATTGATTGTGAGAAATATGTAAAACAAATATTCCTGTACGTATTAGAATTTTGTGTTCTTCAACTAAAATGAGCGAAAATTGGCTGTGTTCAGCAGTGTGAGAGGTCCATGACTCATGCTCTCAGCATCTTCAAAATGAGAAATAACCATTATCATCAGGAGAATTTTTCATACGAAAAAATCGTAGTATGAGTTTTCTGCCTGATAATTCTAGAATTGGATTTGATAAAAATACTAACTAACAACAAAGAACTCGCATATATACAGCATTTGACAAACAACACTTCGAAGTTATACCAAAAGTTTAAAAAAATCGATTTTAACATTCGAAAAGAAAATCTCTCTAAAATTCATCGTATAATTTTATTGTTTTCCTCTCTCATCACAACCCGCAATAGATACTTATGTCTATCGTAGTTTATGACTTTGATGAGATGATTTCATTATAGAACTCAGACTTTGTTTCGCGAAAAACCAAAACTAAAAACTTATATCGAACTGTTCCAGATTCGAATATAGAGATTCTACTCATAGAGTTCAGTATCAGATATTCCTTCGATGATTCAATATGGTTTTATAAAGAAAAAGTTAGTTCGATAAATCGTTCATTTATTTACTAATGTCTTGTGCAAGATTCAGTTTTTTTGAATTAAAAATAAATGTTTCTTTTGTTTTATTTGACTTTTGTTTTTGATATTTATTATTATTTATTTGTTTGTGCGGCACAGAATTCTTGCCACTTAATTGTATTTGATAATTTCGTTTGAATAAATTTTCTTCGCCATGGAGAAAATTTTTTGTTTTTCCAAAGTTCATTATTTGGATCATCTAATGCATTAAGTTCTTTTATCTCTTTTTTTGTTTTGAGATTTGTTCCTATTTTTCCTTGTAAATCGTTTGATGTCATATCAATTTTACCTTCTTTAATATCTGATATGAGTGGCAATGTTCGCTCTAGAATTCGATTCCAACCATGGTTATATCTATCTGATTCTTTTGATTTTTCTCCAGCAAGTCTTCTTTCATATTCTTGTATAAGTTGTCTATCTTCAATAATATCCCAAGCATTAGTACCTCGTTTAATAGTGGTATTGAAACGTGAATGATGTGAAGTATTAACAGTTATTGTATCTGTATTTGTTTGATCTTGCTCAACCTCTGTTACATGTTCTTGTTTATATTCTTGAAATTGAAGATCTTTATTAATAATTTTCTGATAATGATAATGCGCATCATCATAACTACAGCATGAACAAATAGCTGATTCTGAATGATGTTCAAGTGGTGAATGATCGAAATCATCTAGATTCGCATTTACTACCCACCATGGAACTTTATTTGTAGAAGGCATTTGAAATATAGCATCATTGAAATCACCAGTTAAAGTAAATGGTGGTAAATTGCTTTTGATGACAGGACCGCTTGATGCTTTTTCTAACCAGCGTTGTATACTTGATAGAAAGGCACTTAAATAATTCGGAACATCAATTATCTCTGTTAAAAAAAAAAGATTAAAAAGACATCTTTTTAATTGATTTCTGTTAAAGTTAATCTGCAACGAAACTCTCATGCCTTAGTAGTACATGAGAAAGGAAGTGTTAACATGCATAAAATATATCTAGGTATAATAGTAACAATATTGTGTTTAGGGCACTCAACCAGAGTACTCTATTACTAGTATGGCACAGGTATTTTTTAGTATTTGGCTACTTTAAGGTGTCCAAACAAGTACTTGATTATTGAACTATGATATGCTTCTAACTGCTCAAATAACAAATCAATGGAGAGCATTAGACAGCCACTTATCAAGTACCTAATAAGGTACCTTTTGGGTATCTTCAAGTATCGATGTATTAAGATCCTTTTTAATAGGATATCCAACCGAATACCAGTGATATACTGGTATAACAGCGTACTTTTTCAGGTTTGCCATTCTAAGTATCTCAGAAACGAACATTCCTAAATGATATCTTTCGTTCGGTGTCATATTTTTACCATAAATTGGATCCTGTGTGACTAAAAGGATTTTCCCGATTAGATCTTTCTTCTAGGGTTATGATCATATTACTGAAATTTCTATGTCTCGTAAAGTATTTATAGGAAAATCAAACATCGAAATTTTGGCCTTAATTTTTGCTCATAAATAAACTGCATGATTACTAGAATGTTGTTAAAGTTTCAGTCAAAGTGAATGCTTGTTTCTTGAGATATTTGATGCTTAAAACATGATCATATTTCACAAACAAGGTAACAAATCGACTTCTAGTCAACATTTAATATCTCAAGAAACAAGCATTTGTTTTGCCTGATAACTGCAGAGTAATTTAACAATCATGAAGCCTATTTATGAATAAAATCTCAAACCAAAGTTCTAACACAATGATCACAACTCTCAAAGGAAGGCACAATCGAACAAATCCTTTTTAGATTTCCTCTAATCCGACAGGATCCTACTTTTGAGAAAAATATCAAGTCGAACGGAGGATATCAGTTGGAAAGATCTTCTTAACAGTAAATAGGTATCCTAAACTGAATAATTTTGCTAAAGTAATAATGACTATTGATAGTTCATTAGATGTCTTGTTTTAGAGAAAATTTTACTTCCATCTAGACCTATGATTTGCAAAAAACTTCTCTTAAAAATCCTCTTCATATTGATTGTCCGATATAGAAGTTCATATCATTTTATGTTATGATATTATTTTGATATATTAGCGAATAGAATTAAATTATACAAGTTATTCTAATCTGTTTTGTTGTTTAATTAAACTTCTGAATTTGGTTTAATGCAACTGACCTTTGTCATGTTTGTTCTGATAATTTTCTTCGTTTTCAGAAAGCTGAACTTCTTGCTTCTCGTTTTGTTGATTCTCATTGTCTTCGTTTATATGATATTGCTCTTCTTCTTCTTCTTCTTTTTCTACTTCGTCTTGACTTGTATCTCGAGTAGATTCTGTTGATGTTGAACATTCTTCATTTTCACAATTTTCAAGAATCTGTTTTAAAGAACTTATTAAATAAGTTAATTCATCATCTGAAATTTTATCTCTTTCT